AGCTGTCTGTTCCTATTCCTTTCTTTTTCTTTCCTGTTCTTCTAAGCAAGTGTGTGTGTTTGGGGGGGGGGGGGGGTAGAAACACACATCATTGCGTGCATGGGTGTTGTATGGCTTTTGGAGTGCCACATGGAAGTGACTTGTCTGCAAGGACGGGAAGGCAGTGCTAAAAGCAGCACGTCCCAAGACTGGGGCTTGCATAGAGAAGGTGTTTTGCAGCATGAAAAAGCATGTGGTGGGGAAGCAGAGATGGTTGTCAGTGCCCAGTATGTCCCAAAGGGCCTTCTCTGAGTGTTGCTACGGGTGGCCACACAAAGCTGGAAGCCCCTGAGCATATGTGGGATGTGCATCCTCTGCATCTCCATGCACACATCATAAAATCAAAGAATGATAGAATGCTTTGGGTTGGAACGGACCTTAAGATCATCCAGTTTCAACCCCCTGCACGAGCAGGGACACCTCACCCTAGACTATGTTTCCCAGGGCTCTGTCAAACCTTCAGCATCTTCAGATGAAACCCTTTCAGAGCATGTGATGGTGGCAACCACAACAGTTTTGTGTGTGTGCATGTGAAGTCCCATTGAGTCCCTGTTCATTTGAGCTGGGGAGTAGCAGATTTCAGCTTGGGTATCACACGTGAGTTTTGACTGTGTCGCCTCCAAGTCCTCAGCAGAAATTTGGGCAGATAAGGCTGGGTATCAGCTGGGAGTCCAACACAACCAGGGACAACAAAGGATGAAAGGCACCAAGCAAATGAAACAAGCTTTTGAAGTCCTTGCAGAAACAGCCCTTCACTGTATTTAGTGAACCTCACGACTCCAGCAGAATAAAACTGTCGTCACTGGAGGGAAAAGAGGAGAAGTTGCCCTGAATGAAAATAATACAGAGAACAGCACAGATGAAGAGAAAGAGGGAATGCATGGTGGAGAGGACAGCATCTTAACAGCATCTCTGTGCCTGTCACCTGCTAAAATCAGCCTATGTTTCCTCATCCCCTTTGGCGGGTGTTAGATCTGCTGGTTGGGTGCCCCTGTGAGCTCTGGGAAGCATGAACCTCTCACCTATAGTGGCACATGGCCCTTATAGACTTCCCTGCAGCTCTGAGATGCTTTACACTCGCATAGCTTTGGCCTCTGAGGATGCTGTCCTCAACCCTGTTGCTTCCGGAAAGGGAGCGAGAGTAGAAGGGGGTTGCTTGGGAGATCCTGCCAGGAATATGCTTCAGCAGGACAAAATCCAGCATTCGTTTGGCTGCTTCAAAGGGTGCAAATTTGATGAGAACCTGGGCGAATGCCTACTTCATCTTCATCTCCTCTTCAGGGGTGTTCACACAGCAGCCTTGAGGGTTCCTGCTACCTGTGAACATTGTATTATCAATTACCCTCATTAGAGGTTGGCACCTGCTTGACACCAAGTATTTTTCAGTAATATTTAACCTTTTTCTTGCCAGGCCCTGGAGCCAATGCTCACAGAAGCTTTCCTTCAACGGACAGCAAAACAGGAAAGAACAAAAAAGAGAGGAAAAAGGCACACAAGGTTAATGCCAGTTTGATTGGTGGCTGGCTGCAGAGTCTGAAGGTTGCTCTCCATCAGTGCGCGCACGCGAGGACCTGTGTTTGCATGGAAGGTATTAAGCACAAGGGAGGTGGTCAGGCCCTCACCTTGTGGATTTAATCACTTCTGTGCCTGAGTGCCATGCAGGGCCTTGGCAGCCACATCTCCCTCCTTTCAGCTCACAGCAGCTCACCTGCTTAATATCACTTGCAGCGTGATATGCAGAATGAGGTAGGAGTAGCATAGATAAGCATATAACCATAAGATTAGATTTGTTTCCCACAAGCATGCAGACAGGCAGCTTCAATCATACTGGTGTCTGCAGAGAGTTAAAACAAAAGGGGCAGCAACACTGTCAAAGGCAGCTAGTGTTGAAATAGCTAATAATGACAATAAGACTTTCAATTTATCTATAATCTTTTCAGTAACAGTTATCATTGTACTATCCTGCCACCTCCCACACATTAATGGGTTTATCTGTACAAGCCCACTATGATTGGGAAGGATTATCCTCCCTCCTGACAGATGGGGAGGGAAGGCTTTCGGAAAGGTAAGATCACACATCGCAACCACAGCCAGACAGGAAAGGAAGACCTGGGAGCTCTGAGTCAACAGCATGACTCCGAGTTTCTCAATGCTTTCCAGGTCAAACACTGCTTATTCAAAGCACAACCATTTTGCTACCTCTCCTCAGCTGCAAAGAGGAGTAAAAAATCTACCCCTGATAAGCTCATAGCGATGCGCGGCGAAGATGGGTTTGTGTTTGTGAATGTGTTTGCTTGTGTGTGTATGCATTTGGAGAGGCTGACGAAGATTACTCTGGAGCATTAGGCTGTTTTCTCTGGTTTAGATTGTAATCATATTTTCCACACTTTCAGAGGCCCCTGACTGTTTATTGTGCCCCTCCTGGGGGTTGTGACGTTCTGAAAGGGAAAACTGATCCAATGTGTGCATTGCACAGGGAAGAGAAGCTGTTCGTAAGGACCATGAGCTGCTTTAGAGCAGAAAGAGGCATTTTCTAACACTTTCACAAGGTATTTGAGGCTTCTCCTGGCCAACAGGCCACATACGTTGCAGAGTAAAGTCTAAACTTAAGCCCTGGCATCTTGAGAAGCTGTTTGTATTTGCCACGCTGCTGTTGACTTGGGTACATAGGATGCATCGCACAGGGAAGTGAAGCCGATCCTAAGGACAGTGGCTATATGGGATGTTTTAGATCAGAAAGAGGCATTTTTTAACACTTTCTCAGGATATTTGAGGCCTCTGCTACGTTGGCCATATATTTTGTAGAGTGAAGTCTAAACTTAAGCCCTGGCATCTCAGGAAGCTCCTTGTATTTGCCACACTGCTGTTGTCTTGGGTACATAGGATGCAGCCCTGGAAAGGCATATAGACCTCTGAAAAATATCTGTTCAGGAAGAGGTTTTCCACAGCATCTATAAAACATTCATGACACCTCCATTGTGCTGTAAATCCTTAGCAGGAGTTGATAACAGTGCATGAATTTTTAATGTAACATTTATAAATGGTTATTAAAACTATCCTTAAAGTAAAGTGTCAGTTTATTTTTAATTAACTGTTGGCTATTTAAGCTCCTGATGGCTCCAGGGCAGATCAACAGTCTAACAAGTTAATATTCCACGTTAACCCTTCGTATGTTGCCTCTTTGTATGAGGAGGATGAAGATGCATATACAGGATCAACAATGAGATCCTCACTCACTGAAGAGAAATGTCATAATTTCATAGAATGGGCTTTCTTAGTGTTCTGTTTAAGACAGTTTAGAAGCTGTGGAAGGATTTATTTCCTGCATATTGACCAGATATAGATAAATAGCAGAGCTGGGTGATTCTTCTTAGGAAAAAAACCTACCTATTTTCATAGCACTGGTGAGAAGAAATTTCCATTGAAGTCAATGAGCTTGGATCAAACACTTCGAATTGCACCAGCTGCAGTTTCAAGCAACCCACGTATGAAGAGCTGCAGCACTCTCAGATGTGTGAATACAGGTTCAGTTGCAAATGACTTAAATTGACTGTGCAGTTCGAGATTTAGCATTGTGAAACCTGGAACAGTTTACATAGCAAAAAGTGTGCTGCTCAGAGGGCTTCATCCTCAAGAGCAGCTTGGAAAGTGTGAGGATGAAGCTGATGGAGAGTTTTCATAGAAGCATAGAATCACAGAATGGTTTGGGTTGGAAAGGACCTTAAGATCACCCAGTTCCAACCCCCTGCCATAGGCAGGGACGTCTCACACTAGACCATGTTATCCAAGTCTCTGTCCAACCTGGCTTTGAGCACTCCCAGGGATGGGGCATTTACCACTTCCTTGGGCACCCTGTGCCAGTGCCTCAGCATCCTCACAGTAAAGAACTTCTTTCTTATATCTAACCTGAACTTCCCCTGTTTCAGTCTGAACCCATCACCCCTTGTCCTATCACTACAGTCCCTGACGGAAGAGCCCCTCTTCAGCATCCTTGTAGCCCCCTTCAGACACTGGAAGCTGCTCTGAGGTCTTCATGCAGCTTCTCTTCTCCAGGGTGAACAGCCCTGACTTTCTCAGCCTGTCTTCAAACAGGAAGTGCTCCAGCCCCCTAATTATTATTAACTTTTAATTATTTCATATAATTTATGTTACTTAACTGACGATTTTTTAAGTTTTCAAATTAAATTATTCTTCAGCATGTGACACATGTTTTGCATTTGTTGCTGTCATTGGAATTAGTGACAGATTTCACAGATATTATGTCTTCTGTAATTGTTGATCTAATTTGTGGGAAGGCTCCTGTGTTCTTCTTTGAAAATGAAGGTCAAGCCAATGCATCCCCACAAAGCAGATTAGTTTCAGTGTCATTAACATGCAAAAAAGGTTCAGTTCATAGCAGTTTTGTCACTTAAATGGCAATTTTTAGCCCCAGTCTGAAGCACAGAGACATTTGTGGGGGCACCAGAGGGCTTTGGGTTGTTGTGCTCCTGAACAGTGAAGTCCTGGTGCATCTCTTTGCTTCCTTTTCCTGCTCAACTCAGTTATACTCAAGGCTTTTGGGGGCAAAGAGCCAAAGTCTCTCCCTAGGTGGGAATTCATGAAGCTGAACTTTGCATTGCTGGTGTCCCTAGGGCCACCAGCGAAAGGTCGGTGCTTCCAGACACCGCTTCAGAGCTTGTTTCTCTTAGATTTATCAAGATCTGCACCTGGGTGATACCAGCATTAGGTCCCAAAACCTGGAGAGTGTGGATATCCCATACTTTGGCTCAGCTTCCCATGTGGAGAAGCTGGGCTCTCTCTTCATCCCCTGCTTTCTTTGTAAAGCCCATTCTGATCATCACTGCTGTCTCGGTGCCATCTATCACTAGCAGCTAACCCCTGCAACACGCCTGTTGATTGAAGGCTAAATCTCCCTGGGCAAATAATTGTTATTTAAAATAATATTCTATTTTCCTCTCTAGATGCTCCCTTCCCACATGATCAGCCTGAGCTTTGGGAAAGCATGAACTTCAGATCTTCGGAGCATGTAAAGCAACAAGGCATCAAGGCAGCAGTGACACAGGCAGCAATATCCTTCGGTAAATGCCGTTCAATGCAGCAGAGCTTCTTAGCGATTAAAGGAGCCTTGGAAATGTCATTGCCCTGACCAAATGAAATCATTTGTATCTTCTGTCACTGGAATCAAATCCTCTTTCTTTTTATATATATATATAATTAACTTGCGACTGTGGGAAGGTGGGAGCAAGGATGGGGGTTGAGAAGGGAATTTCATGGGTATTCCAGCTGCAGTATGGAAATGATGGTTGGGTAATTGTGCTCTCTAAATGAACTTGACTCGATGGTTGGTGTCAGGTTTTGTTAAGTGCCCTGGGCCAATGGAGACTAATTAGGAATGCATTAAATATTAAAGCTCTCTGACACTGGGGCATTGACAGTGACAGAAGAAAAGAAATCCCATAACCTAATCTGCACCCAACAGGAGTAATTTATGTTCCCTTCTTTTAACAAAGAAAAATCCAATTATTTGGCCTGCTGGAAAAATGTATTTAAAGGAAAAGTTAATTTAGATGGGGGGGAAAGTATATATGAAAAAATAACACAGATGCTGTCAACACAGCCTGTGAATGTCAGTTCCCCTGAAGTTTTGACTTGGTCGATTGCTTTCATTTATGAACAGGGAGAGTATTTCCCTGTTATGAGGTTGTTGGCTGATTTTGCCATCCCAGAAGCGAAGGGAAGATTGTACTTTCCCTCCTCCGTGGCTTAAGTCAGCTGGATGCATCCAGAGATGGTCCACAGGGGATGCCTGTGGCTATGCAGCAAGGGTTTGGATTGTGCATTGAGGTTTTAGGGTGCTGGCATGGTATCCCTGTGCTGTAAGGGGAGCACTGCAGTGTGCATGCTGCAGTATGGGTGTGCTTAAGCAGGGCACTTTGGAGGTGAGGCATGTACAAAGCTTTCAGAAAGTCTAGCAATTAAATTCTATTCCCATCTCTGTAACAGAAACCAGCCCTAACATCTCCACCTCCACACTTTGCTGTGCCCACCAGTTTCCAGGGCAATTTTGTCTGACCTTTAGTTAAATGTCCTGCTCTACCAGGCAGCTCATTTCTGCTGGTCTGTCTACTTATGCAATCTAATCAAATCCAGAATGGAATATAATCAGCCTCATCTTGTAACAGCAACTTGCACAAATACCCGTCTCGCTGTCTGCCACCCTGTCTATACGTCTATCTAATCTCATCTGCCGGCCCGATGCTGTCACTGGGGGTTTTAGCAGTTGCCTGCCAGATTTGAAGGAAACTGCTGGTTGGATATCCAAGCCCCTAGACCCTAAGTAAAGTGATGGGTGGGAAAATAAAGGTGGTTAAAGCACATATTGTCCACCCTGCGGATGCAGCGGAGCATCCCTCTCTGCAGCATGCAGGGGTGTGTATGGTACTTGGTCACACGTGTACACAAACACAACTGGTGCCTTCCTCTAGTCCCTTGTCCTCTGTTCCCCCCCCCCATTTCCAACAACAACAACAAAAAAGCCCATTTATTTATGAAATTACCAGAAGCCCATTTTCTAAAGGAACTTGGTTGCCATGGGTTACCTGATGCTTATCTGCCACCGGTGTTATTTTGCTAACTGCAGCCATTACTGCGAGAGCCTAAAGAAGCAAAGCTAGGATAGCTGAGCACTGCCTGCTATCCATGGAATAGCAGGGAATGTGTTCCCTAGGGGAGCTGGAAGCCAGCTTCTCCAGAGCCTGGAGTTTCTTGTGCCGTTGGGGTTCAGAGTCCATCAGCAGCACATCTCTGCAGCAGGCTGGTGCTGAATACAAACTTACTTTGCAATGGGAGCAGAGAGGACCGAGCTGGGGAAGGGAAGGCAGGTGGAGCATCTGAGATGCCCAAGAATTAATTTAGGGGGTTTATTCAGATAGTAGGAATACTCTGAAATGGGCAGGGAACATGGGTAGGAAAATCTGCTGTACAGACCAATGCTGTGACTGTGCTGCACTTGACATTCATGTGATACAAACAACACTGATGAAGAGAGGAGAAACTTCACTGTGGAACTGTCTAGGAAGAGTATTCCTCTTCAGTTCAGGAAGAGCACTGAAGAAATCCAGCCCTGGGGCCTGGGGGAGGAGGTAGAGAGGGAATGTCTGTGGCCTTGTGATTGGCAAATAGGCAATGCATTGATATCCTTCATTTGAGCATCTTCTGGGGGTTCCTTATCTGTGCAGACCCACGTCCTTAGGGAATCCCTGATGCTGAGCCTGTCCCTTACCTCCCTGCTGCCCTATACACCAGCAGGACTTCTGGAGCTGATCAGCATGACAGAGCTACTGATTATCCCTGTTTTCCTCATTCCCTTTGCAAACCTATTTCTTTGTCCAATGCCTTCAGTACTGTGAGTCCCCACATCCCTTTTTTCTCTCTGGTCTATCCCAGCGCTGGGAATTTCTGAGTCCCCTCGGTCCTGCAGCCCTCCTTACCTGTGGCAATTGCAGCCTCTCCATCAGCACAGACAAGAGTCCTTTGCTGCTACAATAATGAGCGAAAAAGAAGCTAAAAACAATACTTTACATTTCAAATAACTCCTGACACATCCCTTGTCTTTCTCTAACAGAATGACAAGTGTCTTTATCTTGAAAGAGAAGGCAGCCTCCTAGAGCTGTCTACATTGTCAGGGAAAAGGATCTGTAAATCCTCTGACTGCCTCTGTCACTGCTCGACTTCTCCATCCTTTTTCATTTCTCTCTTCTGCTAAAGTCCCTTTTTGTGCTATTTCCCAAAGTGCTGCACTTCCTTTGAATGTTCTCAGCCCGAAAGAAAACTCCCTCTCATCTAAAAGTAGGAGGAAAAAAAACCCTCCCTGCCCAGAATGAATTAACGCGGTGCTGGGTCCTGCATCTGGATCTCGTACAGGATGTGCATTTGAAAAATAGCCAGGTCTTTATCACTTGTTCAAATAAGGGGGGGAAAGGATTTTAATGAGAGAAAAAAGATGCACAGAGGTCCGGAAAGGAAGATTTGTTCAATGCTAGAATAAGTAAAATATTTGCTAATGAGAGGGGGAAGAGAAAGTCATTTAAAATGTTTAAAATAGTCGTGTAGGGGTTTTTCTTTCAGTTCATGCCTCCTTTGGTTTTCATTCCATATTTCAATATTTGCCAAGCTTTCCAGCAAAAGATTTACCTCAAGTGCGTACAAATTACCTGGCATTTGGCTAAGGACAAAATGTCTAATTATGGCTCTAAAGACCTGAAATATTTTCGACTTAAGCTAAAAGTCAAACTCAAAAAGGAAAAAAAACAGAATGAAATTAATAATCCTTTTAGAATTCATCCCCATGATCATTGTTGGACCAAACACCTCAGTGCGAGAGATTAAAAGAAGGGAAATGAGAGATCGGGGAAGAACAAGAGAGAGAAGAATAGGGTTTCTGATGTTACACCTTGATTTTACCCTTGCTGAAGACATAGGGAAAGTCTTGTTTAATTGTCTGGATTTGGGTTGTATCCATCCCATCTGATGGGAAAGATGTAACCCTTTGCCACCATGTTTCACCCCTTGGGCTCCCCATCACACACACTGTTTGGTGCTGCATGTGTGTCCCCTGGCTCACACAAACACTCCTGCTCTGCCATTCCAGGTGCAGCCTGGCTGTTGGAGTGCCAGTGCCCAACCCTCCATCCACCCTGTACACCGATAATGAGGTTCAACCCATGGTGACAAATGGCTGTTCACTCCTGTAGCTCCTTGTCACTGCTTTTCCTCAACCTGAATAAGTAATGAAACTCAACTGAGCATATTAATTATTTTCCCCTGGAGGGCAGGAGAAGGAGGAGCAGTAGCAGCATCTCCAGAGGGGTGCAGAGCTCCAGCAATTCGCCTGCAGTTTAGAGGGCAGAGTGACCCATCCGCAGGAAGAGGCAGAGGTTGCAGGTGTGCTAATTTCATGGAGAAGAAAGGCATTGCCAAATAAAGAACAGATGGCTCCAGTCACTAGTTATTTATTTCTATAATTAGCCACAAGCTGGGATCTCAGACCTTAAAGAAGTTGGCGATTCCTATGAAATTCCTTCTTGCATCAGGCAGTGTGGAAGCATGCATGACACAGGCTGGGCTACAGCGATGGATGTACCCAGCTGGGGTACATGCTGCTTTTGGCTCCTTAAGCAATTGCAGTGTGTTAAAGAATGGTTTAGGCACTTCTGTCTCGGTGGAGCCCAGATGAACATCAAGGACAGTTTAGTCTTGTTATACAGGAAAACATTTAAGTGTGAGTTAAATTCCGCTCTGTTATCACCTTGTGTTGCTTTCTTCCCGTCGCTCTGGTTATTTCCTCAGCTTGTCCTCTTCTGATCTCACTGTTTCTTCTTCTTTTAAACTTTCTTTTTACTCCTTTTCTTACATTACATCCTGTCAGGGCTACACTCAGACTCCTTTTAATCTGGGGGTAACATGATCAAGAGCTGCGAAGACTCATTCTGGCAGCAAGGAAGTAGGAGTCAGACCATGAGTGTTTAATGAAGGGTGAGTGCCGGCTTCTGCTTTGACAACGTGACGTGTGTTATTGCAGTCCCTGTTATCTGGCCTCGCAGAACGTGGGTTTGCTAGCTCCCAGTCGTATCGTTAAGCCTATCTGTTCTCAAAGGTAGGATCAACAGAGCAGGGGGGAATATTTTATTTCCTTCTGGAAGCATCAGGTAGGAGAAGTGTTTGCCAGCCCATCTAGGCATGTTTAGTCTATTTCTTTTTATAGATGATAGTTGCTAAGCTAGAATTGTAAGTAAATGCAGGCCTGCAAGAGTCTATGTAGGTAAATAATTTGCTGGATTTCTTATAAATGTGCCAAAAGCATCTTGTGACAATACTTTTTAATGACACTGGATAGTCAATAAATAACAAAAGAATAACAGAACAGCTTAATCTATGCAAAGCTTGTGCTTTTGACTTTAAAAAGACATGTGCTTTATTTTTGTTTGAATAGCTCCATACAGACAAATAGAAGAATGTATTTTTCAGCTATTTAACAACAATAACAAACCAACCCCAGATAACCTCAGAAGCACTCAAACTTCAACCTGAAGAAAATTATCTGCCTCTATTGCAAAGAATCTAATGAAATCCAATCAA